GATACAAATCCGAAAAGGGTCGGCATTGGTGCCTTCGACACTGTTAGTATAGTGAGGACAACTCACCTCACAATGTCGATCGGAACTGGAATTTCAAACTCTTGAGATACGACATCAAACACCAACACCAACACCAACACCAACACCTACAACTACCAATGATCCACTTGCATAAATACCCAATTTACCAAAATACCCTCAGAAGTCACTTTATCAACCTTTGGTCAAAGTCAAAGTCAACGATCAAGGCCAACAGTCCATGTTGACCCAACTCGTCGAGTGTAGCTCACTGACTTGTCGATTTCCTTCAGAACTCAAGAATTTGTGAAAACCTTAGTTGACTCATCGAGTTTCCAGACAACTCATTGAGTCCATGCAGTATCTCGAATGTCGGGAAAACCCTAACCAACTCGTCAAGTTATCTAGTTGTATTTCACATATTTTAGATTCATAATAATAATAAAATAATTACATCATAAATGTTTCTAGGTTCCTTATAACAATTAGGTCTCATTTTTAATAAATATAAATTTACTTTATGTTTACCGTTTGATTTTATTTTAGCAAAGCACTTCAAATATCATAACTATGTTAATATAGTCATTATAACATTATTCCAACTCTATTCTAGTGTGAAATAAAAGTAATAAAATTTTGGTATGTTATACCAAAGGAATTCTAAGGCCTCGTTTGATAGTTGTTGATTGAGTAAGTGCTGACTGCAAAAGATTTGTTTGGGTAAGAAATCCTGACTGAATAAGAAATCATGTTGTTTGATTCAACATCTGACTGGATGTGCTAACTAATGACAAATGACCATTTTACCCTCGTTCCAAACCAACATCCTAAAACATTAATATTTAGAAAGATACTTGACGCCAAACAATTTTAATTTAAAAAATACTAATATTAATATATATATATATATATATATATATATATATATATATATATATATATATATATATAAAGTTCAAGATCAAATAACCTGATACATAGAAGCAATCTACTTTTTTTGGAAAAGGCAAATATATATAATTAAAAGACCCAATAGCAAGGAGCTAGAGTGGAGAAGTGTAGATAGTACAATGCATAAAAGAGAAACTAGATTTAATAAAGAGTAATTGAAAATGGAGAGCAGCACCAATCCACCCAACTTTGTGCACTTTTACATTCCATCAGGAGATGATTTGTTGATTCAGGTACCGATTTGAATAGGGTGACAATTTGGATGCGAGACCAAAATGCCCCTGTGTGTAAGTGTATCCCCTACAAGTATTCTTTCCAATACAGCCCGCTACACAAAACATTTCAATTTTAGTGGTGCCAGTTAATCACAGGTCCGATGGGTTGGTTGTGTTTGGAATCCACCAATCTGCACATCAGATTGCATAACATCAAAGCATAACCGATTCTGATTTAAAAAATTACAATGATCGTGAATAAAATGAGAAGATTAGTATAACAGAATGTATGTTGCATAGTTCACAACATATTCATGATATTCACTTTTCAACAAAGAAACGTTGAGCAAATCGGCTTCTATTGATGTTCAAACTCAACAAGTGGCTAAAACATCAAAAAAAAAAATAAACATTGAACAACATGTTAGTGAAGTGTAACTGTAACTGATTGTATTGGAACTACAACTAGGGATGCATATTTTACAATTAGGGACACATAATTTACATTTGTCAACAAAGAACTACAATTAGAAGAATATTATACTTGTGTGATGGAGTCAAGAAGGGCAGAAGGCGTCACTGATTGACGAGAACTCTGGCGGTGGCGAAGGTCAGACCGGCGACCTCTGTTTGGCGTTCGCTGGGAGTATAATTAAAAGACCCAATAAGGAAAATAAAGGTAATTAATAGGTGTCGTGACAAATTAACTTTAAATGAAAAATGACTCTTATTTTCTTTTTATGGCTAAGATTTGGAAGAAAAGAAATATTTGATTAATAAGTGATCAAGTTAAATGCATCGATACAAAATAATGAATGAAGCACCATGAAGAATATTTATTGAAGATTAATAGTCAAAGAATTTAGTCTAACATGTATGATATAAAATAGTGAAACATATTATTGTTAGTTTTATGATAAGAAAAAACCCCATGCAGTTATAATAAATATTGTAATAGTTTAAAGAAATAAGAAGTAAAATATTACTTGAACTAGGGAGTAAGATAGATAAAGCTAATGTCTTAATTGGAAAATGAGTATAATAATTTAAAATCATATTTGTGCATGAGTACAAAAGAATGACAAAGGAAATAAAATAGTTAAGAAAATTTGTTGGTTAATCAACATGTGAGTAGTCCATAAAAATAGCATCAAAGGTATACTATTATCAAAGACACATTAAAAGTTGAAATTTGAATTAGACAATTGAAACTATATTGATTTTACTACAATATTCATTCTTATCATAGTCATTTCGGGGACAACATCCTTTTCTATGATATATATTTGTAACAACCAAAAAATTATATGATTGAAAGATAAGGAGTGGAAATAAATAACCATGAGAAATTGTAAAACCTAGATAAAGGTAAAATGGTCAAAAGGGTAAAAATTGCCATTTTACATGGGAAAATATTGTTAAACGTGATATTTATATGAAATATAATAAGTTTAAAGTGTTTATAGTATCATTAAACACCTTACGTGTACTTACATATAATTAGTGCACAAAAGGCCCTTTGTGCACTTAACAAAATCAATGCACATAGGACCTAAGTTGTATATTAATATTTTGTTCATTCATGATCTTATAATTCGAGATCTAGAACGAATGGTAGATAGATATACAATGAAAGTTGTGGCATACATAATAAGTAATATTTAGAAAAGGAAATCATGCAAAATGGATTTATGATGAAGAATATATGGCCATTTGAAAATTGCTAGTTCAAATCCTAAAAGTGAAAAAAAAAAAAAGGGTGAACAGCCATGTTCTCAGGTTAATAACTCAAAATTTGGAAACATTTAACCAAAATTCAATAAGAAGAAATTGTAGAGCTCATGACCAACTTTCCATGGATTTAAGACTTAAACGAAGATCAAATTTCCAATGAGGAAGGAAAAGAAAACAAAAAACAAAAACATATGTGTAGGTTTTACTAGTTATAACAATCTACTTTTAAAACTGAACAAGAGAAGGATAAATACTAAAATCTTGACCTTTTGATTGTGATCTTGTAACCTATAAATCTTGTACTGGATGAAGGATCTAAATTATAATCTCTCTAATGTAGTCAGATCCAAAACTCCAAAAACAAACAAAGAAAAACCTTCTTGAGAGATTATTCGAAAAACATTAACCCTAGGTGAGAGGTTATGAATTTTGACAATAAAAGAGGGGGAGGGAGGTGTATGGTTTTGGGAGAAGGTGTAGACTTGTTGGGAATGACAAATATCAGGTTAGTGGTCCTCTCATGTATTAGTTTGTGGTAAATATAAGGGAGAGAAGTTGCACTTGTAGGGTATGGTAGGTCACTAGTATCCCATGCAAGCATGGAGTAGCTATAATTTTTGACATGTCAGATAATGGATCGGAAGTTAGATTTCTTGAAACATGGGTACATCCTTGTTATTGGTTAATAAAATAGAGAGAAATGTCTAGTTACAAGACTAAACCAACAAATCGAAGAAGCATGTGACCCACATTCATTTTCCCCACCACTATAGGTGCACCAAACCATCATAAACATGTATGATCATTTTCATTTTTCTTGCAAATTACATACATACATTTCAATCTTTCTTATAAGTATATTGATTTAGGCTAACATGACTAAAAAGAAAAAAAGACAAGAGCAATAGATAAAAGGAACAACCAAAGTCAAGAGTTTTCAATAAAGTATGTTACAATGACTTGCAACAAGTGCAAAAACAAGGGCCATAACTCTTGAAGTTACGAAGGACAAGGTTGATCGGGTAAGAGATCAAGGAAAGGGGTAAACACAAAGAAAAAGGATAGGGGGAAGATGTCAATGATCTAAGTGTTGGCACATGATGTTTTGTTATGTTTAAGAATTTAAGACAATGTTGCTTTTCATCGGTTTTCTTTGTGTTGTTAAAGCTCTTCTAGGGAGTCTTTTGTTGTGGTGCTTTCTAAACAATAGACACAATGGATGTGCTTAACACAATTTTGTGTAACTTTTGTATGTGGTTACATACGACACTAATATATGTGCCTATTATGCTAACAAAATTTACCATTCATTTTAGTGATATATCTCATGACCATTAAATGGTCAATATTAGATGTTTTTTCCGATTAAAGATGAAAGTACCTATAAATGAACCATAATGTTTTTTCAAACAAAATACCATTGCACAATCACCAAACATATTTCCATTGCAACAAAACAAAACAAAATACAATTACAACCACCAAACTAGCATCATAACACCAACTAGTACTATATTAAAAAATTCAAGCAAATAAAAATGAAAATTAAAATCTTATGCATAAAAACTTGTACATGTTTAACTTCAGCTAGAACATATCGAAGACCTTCTTCAAGCATGCTTCTTCCCCCAACAAACCAAGAATGATTCTTATGGATCTAGGGCATATTGGTGGGTCAACATATCCAATGAATAAGCACTTTGATCTAGATTTCGAGTTGTCTTATAACTTTCGACTTGGGTTGTTGTCGGTCATCATCATGTCTTTTTGTTCTTGAAAGGAATAGTTTTTCTAACCGTAGGAGAAGAAAGAGAGAGGTAAAAGCAAGAGAACACTAGGACATATGCTCATATGCTATGCACATAGCATATGAGATACTTTAAATGGCAATTTTTTGACACCGAAAGGACCTGTTATATATTATCAAAAAATTACAAGGACCAAATTTGTTTATTTTCTTGAAGTTGTAGTATATGTGGCTATTTCAAGATATCACAAAGACCATTTTTAAATTATTTCGGATACCCTTGTTTGGGAAGAGCCGAAGAGGGTCGTTATTCCCAAAACTCAAAACATACAGCCATGGCACCGTCGACCTCCTCTGCCGCCTCTACAGGTATTCCGACGCCAAAAGAATCACTTGGTTTCGTAGCCACTGCACTCAAAAGAAAAGACAGTTTCATCCAGTTCTTCGCCATGACTGGAATCTTGCTGCTAAGCATGCGATCGGTAAGTCAAAAATACCGAATCCAAGAACTCCAAGACGATACCAACGCCTTGCAGGAAGAGAAAAATTCAATCTCCGATCGGATCAATCACATCAAGAGCAGCCTCCTCGCTGAAGCCGCCCTCGATACCACCGGCGCCTTCGCCGCCAGGCTCCGCATTCTCTTTGGCGACAACAATTGATATGTGAGTCGAAAATTTTAGGGCTTCTAATCTACTTGCTGCTTAATCATAATTTTGTAGTGTATCAGAATCTGTTACATATAGGGATTTAAGAATCATGCTTTGGTACTACAACAATGGTCTGAAATTTTCAATTTTGATAATAATTTCGGCTGTGATCCTTGTGGTCGAATTTACTGCTACTTCTAAAACCTTAAATTGATTTTTTTTTTATCTGCATATTCTATTTGTTGAATTACCAATGTAGCTAAAAAGGATACATTATTACATTTAGACTTCACTTTTCAATCATAGTGATTTCCACATATAATTCTTATACACAACTTGAGAAAGTTGCTGATATTTTGATACAAACTGTGATATTTCACTTGCTAGTATTTATTGAGTTTCCTATATTTAGGCATTGACACAAGAACTTTAAGTTGAGAACCTCAAAGTTTAATGAGGCTATAGGCTAGAAATTGTGATCCTTGACAGTTGAATTGCAATGCATAGTACATTTTCATAAGTAAGAGATTAAATGTGACACACCTTTCGATCATTGCCTCTTTAGTAGATACAAGGATTGGGTTGAATTTATAATCAAGCACCCAATGTGGAGAGTGGAGATTAGTTTGCTTGCTTCTTCACATAAAGAGGTTTGTTTAGGTTGTGTATCCATGGCGTTATGGTTTAATAATATGTGTGCAACCAATCCTAATTTAAGTAGTGCACTTAGGGGTTGTTTCATTTGGACTTAATAAACTTAATGGGTTAAGAACTTAATCTCGACACCTATGCATGGGCATTCTTTCGGACTTAATGTGGACAAAATGACTTAATGGGTTAAGCCAAGAAATTTGGCTTAATGTGTTGCCGTTGAGACACTCAAGTTAAATGATCATTTAGTATAATTTAGACAGTTTATTCAGTCTAGGAAAAAAAAAACTTTATGTATACAACACTACATCCGAACATCATTATTGTTTACCGGCAAAAATATATAGATATTAGCAAGCAGCTAGAAAACGAGCAAAGCAACTAAAAAGAGATAACCATAGTAATCAATACACCCAATTGATTTTAAGTTTGTGATTCTTATAGACAAACGAAGGTTGTCAAGATTAGGATCTTGATCGTAAGATCGTAAGATCCTACGTAAGATCGCAGATAGGATTGTAGGATCGTAAGATCGTGATGCGATCCGATGGGATCCGACCATTCCATGAAAATTGGCAAATTTTGATCGGTTTTTATTATCTTTACCAATTTACTGGTTGACTTGGTCTCCTTACCCAATGCTTAATCGAGAATAGCCCTATTCTTGTATTGTTTTTTGAACCGTAACTGACCAACAACCATAAATTTTTTTCCTTTTACATATTACCCTCATCAATGGTAGAATTTGAGATTTAGTTTTGGCTTGTTATTAATTTATTCCTTTAATAGTTCAAGTTCAACAATAAATGTGAGCCTTTTTCCTGTTTCTTTTGTTTCTTTTTCTTTTAATGGTAAGTCTTTTTTCTTGAGAGCTTGAGAAAATACGGATTCTAGTTAAATCAAATAACATGAAGGTTGTGAGATGCTATTTTTGTATGATAAATAATTAGTATTAATATTTTTTTTAGCTATTTAACCATGTCATTAACCACTACATGACTGGTTACTTTTTTTTTAGTTATTTAACCATGATATACGGAAAAAAGTTTTATTTATAGATCTTAGGATCCTAATCCCGATTTTGCAAACCTAAAAACGATCCTATGTAGGGTCTCAATATTGACAACCTTAAAACAAACCATTAAAAGAAGTCGAAACTATACAATCAAATATAGAATCTCTATGATACTTCTTCGACCCAAACACCAAAGCATTACGAAAACTCCAAATGACCCATAAAGAAGTCTTAATGGGCACATCCATAACGTCGCACCAACAACCAATTCGCACCCAAACCCGAGGCGTTGCCTCATAAGCAATAAATAAATTGGCCACACTCTTCATATAGTTGGAACAAATATGGCATAAAACTGAATCCAAGTATGCACCCCAATTTAGGGATGAACATGATTCGGTTTTTGGCTAAAATCACAACGAAAACCATATAGATGTGCTTTTAGCTTGTTAAAACTAAACGGTTTGGTTTGGAGCTTTCCATAAGTATTTCGTTCCTTTTCCAATTCCATCCCCTTGATTTGAGTTTTTGTCTTCTTCTTCTTTTTTTTTTTTTTTTTTTTTTCCTTTTTTGTTTATTATTATTATTATTATTATAAATTTCGAACAAAATTTTATAACTCGGACGACGTTATAAAATTCGAACGGCTATATAAAATCGGTTTTTAATTATTTTTTATTATATATTTTAATACTATTATTATTATTATTATTATTATTATTATTATTATTATTATAAATTTTGAACAACATTTTATATATCAGGTTGACATTATAAATTCGAAGGACTATATAAAATCGGTTTTTAATTTTTTTTAATTTTATATTTTATAACCCGGTTTTTAAAATCGGATTACACTATAAATTCGGATGAAATTTTATAATTCGTACGACATTATAAATTTGGACGACATAATAAAATTCAAACGACTATATAAAACGGAATAAAAAAAAGTTTGTCTTTATTTATCACATATATATTAATTGGTTCGTTATTACATTTTTGTGGTGCGTTATGCGGATTGAAAACAAACTTTACTTTTGTTCCATTTTATATCGTTGTTCAAATTTTATAACGTCGTCCGAATTTATAATGTTGTCCGAATCTTAAAATGTTTTCCGAATTTTATATGGTTATCGAAATTTATAATAATAATAATAATAATAATAATAATAATAATAATAATAATAATAATAATATTATTAATAAAAGAAAAAACAACCAAAAAAAAAACAAAAAGGAAAAAGAAATGATGTAAATCAAATGTAAAATTTTGATTTGATTGATACTTGTTATTATTATTATAGCACAACCCTTTGGTTTTTGTGTTTGGTGTGGTTTGCAATTTTAGCCATGGTTTGGTTTCAATTTGGTTTGGTTTATAAACAGTAACAGGTATGGGGCAGTTTTAAAACTACCAACAGACTAAACAGTAACAGTCAAACACAATGTAAAACGGGTTTGTTTACCGGCTAAAATGCTAGAAAATGTTGAAGTTACGATAAAAGAACACATTTGAAAAAACTAAAAAGTAATATTATAATGACCAAAACATATTGTTATTATAAAAATTAATGGTTTTTTTTTCATAACTTATTTTAGTCTGAAAAAAAAAACATAAAAGAAGTAATATATTTTATAGATATTAAATAGGTAATATATATTATATAACTATTTAGAAGATTATACACTGTGATTTTCACAAAATAAAAGACCACTTCATCGTTTATTTTATTCGGTTTCAGTTTTTCAGTTTTTTTGGTTTTAACTCGTCCTTATTCTTGTCTTTGAAACAAATCTATTTCATCTAGTATAATAGTTTCAAGTTTCCAACTCACATCCAAGTCCCACAATATTAGTCTGGGTGTTATGAAAGCTCCTTCGAACCAACAAATTGGCTCAAATCCATGAAACTGGTTAACAAAAATAATAATAATAATAATAATAATAATAATAAAAAAGCTTTTATCACCTCCCACTGTCGTTTCAAAAAGCTAAAGAAAAGCACATGTGTCCAAGGCCTTTTCATTGCCACAAGATTAACTTGTACATTATTTGGGACATCTTTTTCTTGAGGAAATAATGGAATGGAAACGGCCAAGAATGAAAATAATTATAAGAACTTTGTATCTCTAATCAAAACCCAACATATTAAATATTAATGAAAATTTTCTTATTTACAAAAAGATAACACCCTAATATGACTAAGGAATCAACGAAACTATATTAATTAAAGGAAATAAAAATCAGTTCAAAATTAAAGGGAATAAGCCCCAAATTGCCTTAAATTTGTAACTCAAGTTTAGCCCAAAATATCCAAAAATGTAAAAGCCAAGGTAGACCTTGTCAAACTGGGCCAACAAGCCCGATTAGTAACGTCATGACTCGTATAGAAACAAGAAAGAGAGTGATCAAAGAAAATAAGAATTTTTTTAATGGCTAACAAAAACTTTCTAAATTTTATTCCTAAATTACATATTTATTCTTAAAGCCTCAACCATTTAATAAAGCGATACCTTTGTAAAGTCTTGATATAGCTAAACCAAAGATAAGTTTCTAGAGCTTTTAAGGATGAAAAGGAAGAAATTTTTCATTGCATTTTTTAGTAAACTTTAAAAATTGCCCATGTAGCATGCTATTTTCTTTGGTTTCTATAAAAAGTAAAAATTAAATAAAAATTGAAGTTTTTTTTTTTTGGGCAAAAAAAACATCCTTTTAGTAGAGTTTCGTCGTGATTTTGATCATTATCATTGCTATTTTGTCCTGTTAAATCATTGTAAAATGAAATAGTATTATTGTTATTGTATTAATATTCATCATTAATTGTCCTCCATTCATCAATTCAAAGTTCTAACAGACACAATCCTTCTATTCACACCTCCATTTAATAGTTCCAGTGCAATCATTACTAAATTAAAAAGTCCAACAATAATAATATTAATGAAGGACAAAATGGTCATTCTACAACGATTTAATGGAACCAAAACTGTTCCAAATTTTGCCACAAGGACTTGTTTTTCTTCTCAACAAATAAAACAACATACAACATAGACCATTGCAGTTTACTCTTTTCATTTTTAAATCTTTTATAACACTATAGAGAAAAACACGAGATTTCATAACGACAAAATTTTAAAATTATATTTTATAGTAGTTTATATATTATAAATATATACAATTACTAACCTTTCATAGCTAAGTACATCTCCTAATGCATAAAATATAATTTTAGTCCTTCAATTTTGTATAATCCATGATTTGCAACCTTTTATTTTATAAATTTTATTTTCGGTCCCTTTAGTTCTAAAAAATATCACTTTCACCTCTCTACCTTCAACATTGTAAATAGTAAATTTTTTGTACGTCACTTACAACCCCTCTATTTTGTAAAATGATATTTTTCATCATTTTACTTTTTAAAATATTACTTTCATCCATCTACCTTAAACTTTGTAAATTGTCACTTTTACCCATTTGTTTTCTAAACTTTCATGTTTATACACCCTCCACCTTCAACTTTATAAAATATCATTTTATCCATTCGTTTTCTAGACTTCCGTTTTTATTTCACTTTCACCCCTCTACATTCAACTTTGTAAAATACTACTTTTATCCTTTTGTTTTCTAAAAGTTGTAAAATGTATTTTTCACCCCTCTATTTTTTAAATATTACTTTAACCCCTCAACTTCAAACTTTGTAAAATTTCACTATTTATTCAATTCTTACTCCTAAAACACCACAAAAATATGTAAAAACCCGCAACAAAACGCAAGCTCAATTACTAGTTACTTATAATTATCATATTTTACACCATAATAACAAAATTAAAGTGCATTAGTGTCCTCTTTCCCCCAATCGGAATACATAAAAATTTATTTGTCTTTCTTTATTTTCTTTCAAAGTTGACAACAAAAAATCTATATTATAGCTTTCATTTTATTATTTATTTCTGTCTCTAAAAGAACTCAATAACTCGATGATAAATTTTTGTGTTCAATGTGTTCCCACAGGCCACAATGGAAGAGATTGATAGTGGTTCTTACTTGTTACAAGCCACTAGTGTTGAGGATGTTGCTTTGCTTGCAAGGGGATGATAATATTATTATGGTTAACATGTACTACTTTTGATATGTACAAGTTTTTTTAGTTTTGTCGACGTACTCTAAAGAGTATGTAAGATTGTATTGTAAAACAAGTCATGACTCATGAGAATATAATTCTTTCTTTATATAAATCTTTTTTAATTATTCTCTCACTAAAACCTTAAATCAAGTATTCCACTAAAGTCGATGACAACTTGCACTTTTGAATCTTGACCTTCACTTCACGTTTGATTATCAGGGTGATTTTTGTTAAATAAATCTCTCCCTCCTTTACAAGATGTATGATAATTTTATTTTAGTTATTAGCAATCGAAGAGTTAAACCTCAACGGATATGATTTGTACATAATAATTTCTAAGCAGTACTTACAGTTCAGTTATTTGTTTATAAAAAGATTTTAAACATTTTATCAGAATCATTGAACTTAATAGTTTTCTTAAGGGAAAATGCTAGAAAAACGCTCTTTAGTGTGTAAATAATAAATTTATACATGTAAATAATAAATTTAACTGTAAAAATATTATTATTTATTTATTTCTTTTATAACGTTCTTTAATGTGCGAGTTCATGAATTTAGTTAAATTCAGCATCAAAGCTTATGCTTTGTAACTTGCATATTATTCCCAACAATTACAATGTACTTTGATTTGTTTATTAATTTTAAAAGTTATAATTTATGTTTTGCAAAGAAATTTTATTTTCATTGCAAAGAAATTGAAAAGTTGGCCTTCTGATAATAATATATAGATATATAGCAAAATTATCTTCTTCTGTATTCTGATATCAATTATCAAATAGTTTGCTGCTACTAGTTTAGAGACTTATTCCAAATCTTTAATTGCATGCCAACTTAATTTTTACCGGTTTCGAATAGAATTATAGTGATGTTTTATATCGAATCAGACAAATATTCATGTGTTAGGTGCCTGTTAATTTATGTAATAAAAATTCTAATAAATGGAAAATGATTATTTTATTGATTTAACTATGAAATAATAATTGTTACTTATCATAGTATTGAATAACATCTAGAGTAAATTACACGAATGGTCCCTATGATTTAGGGTAATTTGCATATTTGGTCTTTAACTTATTTTTTTTTAAAATTCGGATGGTCCCTACAGTTTGTTTTCGTTGCACGCTTGGTCCCTGTTTTACCCAAAAAGACTATTTTTCCATTGATTTTTTTAATTTATTAAATAAACACACTCTCAACCACACTTCCACCTCATCTTACTTTACCTTACATATCCATCTTATTTAAATAAATTAAAAGATCCATGACACAATAGTCTTTTTAGGTAAGATAAGGACCAAACGCACAACAAAGATAAACTGTAGGGACCTTCCAAGTTAAAAAATAAATTATTGACAAAACATGCAAATTACCTCAAACCATAGTTATCATTGGTGTAATTTACTCTTATATGCACAAGGCTTGCATTTTTTTTTTTGATAATATTTCAGTTGTTCAAAACAAATATTGATTTTGTGTTACTTTCAACTATTCTTATGAATAGTTAATCTAAAAATGATTTATTTGATTATTTTGTTTAATTTGATCATGATGATTATTTGAAATATTAACAATTATTTATAAAATTATATATTTTCAAATAGATATCAATTCAGATTTATATTTAAATATTTAAATATTTTTAGCTATTTAATAAAACAACATTTGATTATTTTTTAATTTTATTGGATGTTTTTATTCAGGTTTTGGATTAAACATCATATATAAATTAACAAATTAAATATATTATATTAATAATTTAAAAAGTTCACAATAATAATAATAATAATAATAATAATAATAATAATAAACTTAAATTAATAAATTTAATATATAAGATGGAAAATTGAAAGATTAAAAGGCTTCAAAAAATAGATATGATGAAAGAAAAAAAATAATAATATAGTATAGATTAATAACGATTGATTTTATCATTTACTAAAAGGATGTTCAAAGTACAAAGCTTTATTATTTATTTTTTATGTGATATCTAGATCTTTTTACCTTTTTTTTTTTTTAACAATTTATAGAAAACATACCCTGATAAACTTGTACATTTGAATATAACTGGTTAACAAGCTTAAAAATGAATGCACGATATCTAACGTAATTAAAAAAGATAAATATAGTGATATTATGATACATTTTGCATGTAAATGAATAAGAAAAAAGAAGTATACAAATATTTAACGAAAAAAAAAAAGAGACAAAGAGGGTGTTATTCCGTGAGGTAAATAATAATAAAGATTGGTTATTTTTAGATGGAGATGACGAGAGTCATGTGCTCGGCTCCTTGCCTTACAACTCCCATCACGTGAAAGGAATTATACAACCCCTCGCAACGCTTTACGTCCTTTCACCTCTTGCCCTTAGATATACAAACATACATGCTTTAAAGTTTAAATATTCAGAAGTATTTAGAAGGGGCTAATTTCAAACATAATTTGCTAATTTTACAGAAATAGATAACACAATTTAAAAATTACGTTTAATAACAATATATTTACTTTTATATACAAACATTTAACAAATGGCTTACGTTTTATAACTAAAATAGATTCTTTAACTTGGAAATTTAAACTTGGTGTTATGGTGACGGTTTTAAATGTTCCGATCCATGTCGCGAGCAACGTCATTCATTTATGTAGGCTTGATTGCTGACGTGGAGAACATGCTTTTAATCATTTAAAAATAATAATGTATACTAATAAATAAAACTCATTTTCTGCCACATGTCATGTCCTCATTGATTTGGACACATAGCATTTTAATAGATTTTTTAAAATTTACTTATTTCCACATGTAATTTTCTGATTTGTTCACATATCACAACTGATTTCGGTTACAATATTGAGAGAAATAAATGTTTCCTTGAAGAAGAATTGATATATTTATAATGTAATAAATATCATAATTAATGAGAGCTCTAAAATTGATATTGATATTAAATATTTATTTTAAATTGAAAGTTTAAATATTGATATTAAATTTTTATTTTTAATAAACTCGTATAGTACACGGTCTCTTACCTAGTAATAATAATAAACTAATGTTAACAATTTGCAAAACTGGCATCATCTTAGACGTCGGCGAACTCCCCTTCCCTTGTCACCTTCATCTTTTGGTTTGTGTCTAGTAAATATCAAAGTAGCTTAAGTTGATGCAGGTGTAACACCAATCTAATGGAAGACATTTTCGTTTTTGGTGATACTTGACGCTTTAATATAAATAACTGTTTGAGAAACTTAAGCATAACATTGATCAAGAAGATTCGTGCATTTAGGTGTGTTTATTTTTTACGTGGGAACATGTTATTGACATTTTTCTATATTTGCAGAATAAGATGTAGACCAAACATGTTTTTTTATGTCTTTAATCTTCATAATTATTTTTTAAGTTTTCATAAAAAAATTGTGTTTGTGTTGGTGGCGACAACAACGACGGTGTCAGTGTGTGTGGTTGTGGAGGTAGAGATAAAGGTGGAGGTGGTGGCAGAGATGCGAGAAGCGGACGTGGGTGTGCTGACAGAGGTGGTAATGTTGGAGGTGTTTGCAAAGGTGGCAAAGGTGGTTGTGGTGGTGATAGAGTTAAAATTTAGAAAACAATCTTTCTTGAAATGTTTTTTCTACTTGTAGACCTAAGAGATTAAAAAAAATTATTAAAAAAACAAATGCCATCTTAATAACGGACACATATCAAAATGTCAGACATGACACATGAAAGTTGCACATTGGGAAAATTACACTATGCCGAAATATATATATATATATATATATATATATATATATATATATATATATATATATATATATATATATATATATATATATATATTTTACTTCACCCGAAATTTTAAGGTGTATCACGAACTCCCTTTGCAATTAGTTAGGTCTGGCCATACATTCATCTGTTGATATCATTCGATTGCTTTGGATCTGTCCTAGGATTCCAACAAGTGATATTAGATTTTTTTTTGAGAAGTTAAATGTTATCCTACTCTTCTTCTTAATTATATTACTATTCATTTGAAATGATAACAAGTGTATTAAAATATAATGAATTTTATTAAAATATAACATTTGTCACCATTTTATATTAATAGTAAGATAAGTAGTCAGAAAAAATAGAATGATATATAATTTCTTTGCTTGTTTGTTGTTGTGGTGTATTTAAGGTTTTCTTTGTTTTTAGGATTTGTTAATTTGTAAATTGTAACACACGTCAAATGTTCGATAAAATGTTTGAGTTTTCTTAGGATAATATTTTGGCTACCTGATTAATTATCATCGTCATCGAAAGAGGTTTATATGTTGTTATGAGCTCCATTATGTATCGAAAGTGAAATTGGGATATTACTTGAATTTGGTATGTTCCAATGGAAGATGATCTCTAACCAAACAATTTTAATGCTTCTTGATGTGGTGTAGACTATAGATTATCTAGTTTTAAATTTATATCCTAACTATTTATCATCTATTACACCTATAGGTAGTATACCTAGTCGGTTATAGTAAGTTGGTGTCGAACTCAGGAAACAGATTTAATTAACTAAAATAATTACTAAAAATTAACCTAAAGCAAGCAAAAGTAAAAAGGGTTTTATTTGATTTTTCAAGTTCAGACAAACTTAAACATTTAATTAACGGTTTTAATCAATACTCTAAAAAACTTTCGTTTAGTTCAAATCCACCTCTTCTCTATGGTTAGTTACTAATTATGAATTATTAAAGTTGATTACCAATTATTATGTAATTAGCAATTCAAGTCCAAATTTACTAATATTTTCACCAATTCATGAATTATCTTGTATGGTTATACACAAGAAAAACACAGAATTAGTTATTATTTATAAATGGGCTATGGAAGATTTATCTAAGCAAACATAATTATTGTCACAATTTATGTTCTCTAGCACATCTAAATTTGTTATTTTTATTACTTATCTAAGATTTGCTCAATCCTAGCTCTACTAATTTAATGGTCACTAAATCACTAGGTAATCAAGTTCATGTAATTTAATGGTCACTAAGCTACACTTAACTTGAAATTAAGCAACAAATCACAACTTTAACATGCTAGGTAATGATAATCAAACACAAGCATAAAACCAACTTATAAAATCCATAAA